GTCTCGCTGACCAGTGTTCCCAACGGAACTGGAGGAACTAAGACTAAGGTAGCGTTACACAGTACAACATTAAAATGTGTAACACATACAGTACTCGTATACCAAAATGTTGTGACAAGTTAATAATGTTACGACATATGGCGTCTGTAAACTAAAGATATGGCTTTGTGGTTAGAGAGCTCGACTCTGATGGTCGCGGGTTCGAATTTCTCTCTCCGAACATTTTTGCCCTATCAGCCGTGGGGGCGTTATAATGTGTCGGTCGATCCCATTATTCGTTGGTAAAACAGTAGCCCAAGAGTTTACGGTAGGTTGTGTTGACTAGCTACCTTCCGTCTGGTCTATTACTACTAAATTATGGCCCGGCATGGCCAGGTGGTTAGGGCGCTCGACTCGCAATCTGAGGGTCGCGGGTTCGAATCCCCGTCACACCAAACATACTCGCCCTTTCAGCCGTGGGGGCGTTATAATGTGAGGGTCAATCCCACTATTCGTTGGTAGAAGAGTAGCCCAAGAGTTGGCGGTGGGTGGTGATGACTAGCTGCCTTCCCTCTAGTCTTACACTGCTAAATTAGGGACGGCTAGCGCAGATAGCCCTCGTGTAGCTTTGAGCGAAATTCATAACAAACAATACTAAATTAAGGTCGGCTAAAGCAGATAGCCCTCTTGTGGCTTTGCGTGAAATTCAAACCAAACTGTAAACTGAAACTTTGTAGAAATTTCAATTCATATAATTAGCTGAGAATAAATGCTTAATTAATGTAGGATTGTGATTCCCCCCATATTATTTTAAGATTAACCAGTTAAGTCTCAGTTTTTACATTATATTGTACTATCTCTACTCAAGGTTACATACCATTAAAATAAGAAAATTATTGTCATTGCTATTTCTCTTCAGTCCGTTTCTCAAACAGTGGGTCGCTACCCCCAAGATCGCGACGAACAAAGTCTGGGGTCGTCTGGCAAATCCGGCTGAGAAACACTGCTCCACACTGATGGAGCGTTCTTTATATGAAGCCTTTATGACTTTTTGCAGGTCGGGTGTGACATAACCGAGGGTTGGAAGGAGCAGTGTGGAATATGTTATTGGAATGGCAATGGTTGTGGCTTGGTCGAAGGACTTTTCAACAAAGTTTACCTGCGAAAAGGTTAGGCCCTTTGTGTCTTTGCTTTGAAATGTTGAAAGAAATATTATTGTTTTGATCTCAAGTTCTTCAATACTTTTGTATAGTAATACTGGAAAAAGACTGAAATAGTTTGATACTCCAATTTGATGGAAACGGGAACCTTCCGAACCATATGAAAATGTGTCTTTTACACCATTTAACATGTCTTTATTTTGACCTTGAAACACTTCTCTCTCACCTGTTGTTTTTCAACAATAAACAACACATACGTACTTTTGGATACATTATTTATGTTTGATGAGCTTAGTAAAATATATCTGTAACTAACCGTTTTTATTTTGATATGAAGCCTTTATCACTTTAAAATTTGACATTTTTAACATATTTTATGATCATTTTTATTATAGTTCAGCGTCATTGGTAATAAGTCGAAATATATCAAATTCTAAGCATGCGTTAAATCATCTTTGACATCGTGTTTGTTTGTTATTAACTACAAAACTGCACAACGGCTTACCTTTGATATGCCTAATGCAGGGATCGAATCCCCAATTCTAGCGCTATAACCCTAAATCTTTTCGCTAAGCCACGGGAGTGGGGGTAGGAAGGTTTAAAATTTGTAGGTTCCGTTATTATGAAAGATTGTAGAAACGATAACATTACATTGTTAAATTGAAAAATTCAATAATTATACAATAATAATATCTAAGTGTATTCCATTTTGGACGACTGGTAAGCTTGGTTTGTTTTTTTGCTACCATTATGATTTGAGTAAACTATGTATATTTCTTGCAGGCTACAACACAGTTGTTCAGATCCCTAAAGGTGCTCTAAATATTAAAATATCTGAAACAGGATCTTCGCCGAACTACTTGGGTGAGCCTTATAACATGATTTTATATACTTGTATATGATTCGTTTAATTTTACCGTAGAAAATTAAAGAAATATATTAAGCCTTTTTTTTTAGAAATTTTGTAAGAAAGCAAAAAAAAGTATCATACTGACTGGTATGTCTAAACTGAACATGAAACTTAAAAGAAGTGCTTTAAAACAAATTTATGTGAATTTAATGTTTAATTATATGCACAGTTCCTCTTATGATTGCCATAAGTGTCTATAATTACATACGTTCATAATGAGGGTTAATAATTCATTCTAAATGTAATTGGTTGAAAAAACAATTATCCTTGTCGAAAAGAGTTTACATACATTTGAACTTTTTCTAATGGACAGCGTTGCTTTGGACAAGGGTCAAAGTTTCAGTTACTCTGAGAGTGTTCAACTATATGGCTTACCTGTATATGTTTATTGAACTTATCTTTATCACTTTGTCGTATTTATACTTATTAAGGTGAGAAACTTAAATTTAAATTCTTAAAATATACATTTTTCTCTAGCTTGGATAACTTTTTGTTATGATCGTAGTGCTTCCTTACTTTTATCATAAAGATTTTGCAATAATTTGTATCTTTGAAAATCGCATACCCAATTTTTGTATCTCTGCCCAATACTCACATACCATGAATATAATTACGGGCCAAGATTTCCTTAGCATCATTATTTACTTGATATAAATAATATTCATTTTCTTTTTGACATATTCTCTCCATAGCCTTACGAAATTTAACTGGACATTATTATTTGAATGGCGATTGGCGAATAAATACTCCCGGAAACTACCCTATAGGAGGAACAATTTTTCGTTACACGAGGAGGTCAGATGGCCTCTCAAGTGTTGAGAGAATGGAAGCTTCAGGTCCAACGACAGAATCTCTTGTCATTGTGGTAATTTGTATATTATTATTTATACATGATAGGCCTTTTACATTTCTTTAGCCAACAGTTTTACTGACATTTAACTAAGAAGAAATAGACCTTCTTTGCAATTCTTTAGCCAACAGTTTTACTGACATTTAACTAAGAAGAAATAGACCTCTTTGCAGTTCTTTAGCCAACAGTTTTACTGACATTTAACAAGAAGAAATAGAGTTCTTTGCAGTTCTTTAGCCAACAGTTTTACTGACACTTAACTAAGAAGAAATAGACCTTTTTGCAGTTCTTTAGCCAAAAGTTTACTGACATTTAACATAGAACAACAAATACCCCTTTACAGTTCCTTACACAATATTTATTACAGACATCTAGTAGAGAAATAAGAACTAAAGAACCATTTAACTTGTGGCAAGTATCATGGATCTTTTTATCCTTTACTGTTATTCATTGGTTTAATATAATTGCTGCTTCTGGTAATCTTGGTAATTATTTTGTATATCTGTATAATGTTGTGTCATATACAATATCAAACAAGGCCACAGCTTGAACGCTGAGAACCTTTTGTATCAATAAAAACGATATTTTCAAGGTACATGTCAGCTATCTAAGAAAACCTTTATTGTAAAATAGATTATTAAACAGAAATGTATAAGATTTACAAAAACATCATCATCAACAATTTGACACAGTTGGTTTTAGGACTGCAACTGCCTGAAAAAGGCCTCAGTATAGAAGCCGAAACGTCGTCGTCTTTTCAATCAACAGGCAGTTGCAGTTCTTTAAATTCTAAAACATACTATGTCTACTCTGCCTAAATTTCCATTTAAACAACAATATTTTGACAAGTTTTAATCTCTATTTTTGTAAAAAAACTAACTCGTTGCATAAAACGCACAAAATATATCACATAGAATGTTCTACAAAATTTATTTCCTTGAAAATCTGACAAGTCAGAGTAAATATGTATATGTATTAGGTCGTCAAGAAATTAATGTCGCATTTTGGAACACTTTCATTAACCACCCTCCAAGATACGTACATCACGTATAGTAGTTAAACGAACCGCCTAAATGTCACGTTGGTGTAGTCTATATAATGTGTAAAGTTTAGTATACTCTAATCCCATATAGTGATGGCACACGATGACACACACATTTGGCATGTAATGCTGTTTGAATACAAGAAGGGAAATAACGCCTCTATAGCCACAAATAATATCAAAGAAGTTTATGGAATTGTTTTGAACGTTCGTAAGTGTCAACGATGGTTCAGCAAATTTTGTTCAAGTGACTTTAGCCTTAAAAACTGTGATGGCAGGGGCCGACATGTTGGAATTGATATTGATGCTCTGAAGATGCTTTTGGAGTCTAACCCAGGGCAACACACTCATGAAATGGCCCTGAAATTGCATCTCTCTCATTAAACAATACGTAAACATCTAAGTAATATGGGAAAACTCCATAAAGAAGGTGTTTGGGTGTCTCATGAACTCTCTGATGATCATCGCTTCCAACGTGTGAATGTTGCTTCGTCTCTTCTGGCGCGTAATGCTCATGAACCATTTTTGGACAAAATTGTCACAATGATAGAAAAATGGACTCTCTATGCAAATATTAAATGCCAAAAACAATGGCTCAGTCCTAGACAAAAACCATTTCGACCCCAAAACCTGGACTCCATTTGTAGAAAGTGATGCTTTGCATTTGGTGGGACATCAAAGGAGTAATTCAATTCGAACTCCTCAATCCACAGCGAAGTGTCAATGCAGAGATCTATAGTCAGCAACTGGAACATTTAAATCAAGTCTTTCATCAGAAAAACCCTTCACTTGTCAATCGGAAAGGTGTTCTTCTTCTCCACGATAATGCACGCCCACACGTGGTACGTTTGACGCAACACAAGATTATGGAGTTGGGTTGGGAAGTTCTCCTCCATCCACCATATTCTCTAGATATAGCATCATCGGATTACTACCTTTTTCGTTCGCTGCAACACCAACTTAATGGGAAAACGTATGCAAGTGTGGAAGGTGTTAAAGAGGACATCGACATGTTTTTATGCTTCAAAGCTAAGTGATTTCTTTAATCAGGACATTAATAACCTGACTGTAAGGTGGAAAAGCATCATCGATAAGAACGGAGACTATTTCATTTACTAAATGTTTCGTTTTGATATTTAAATTGTTCGGTTTTGTTCATCTAAATAAAAGCGACATTAATTTCTTGATGAACTAATAATTGAAAATGATTAAATGAAAGGTTCATAACAATTAAATATTCAAAGAAAATTTGCATGAATAAAACCGTGTGAGCGGTACATCTATCAAAGTGATGTCAAATTTAATAAACACAGTGATATGTGTGTGATAAAATCTGAAGTTTGTCACTTGTTCAGTGATGTTGTTATAGAAGTGTACACGTCACCGTGTTTAGAGAATAGTTTTAACCAATCATTATACTTTCATAGTTACATAAAAATTGGTAATTGCTTATTCCACTTGTGGTAATTCAAAACTAGCCACTAGACGGCGCTTTTAAACAGTAAAAGGTCGGTCATCTTCGCAAATGTACTGCTGTTATAAACAACTGTAATATGATGCTACATCTGTTAACATTTATTTTCTTCATTGTTGTTACGTGCTTTTTGTTCTCAAAGGCGTATTTGTAATTGAGGATTTCTGGGCTTCGAAGCAACTATTATATATAACTATTTTGCTTTTCTGTCATCCGTTTGTGATATTCGGGCAAAGCTATGCCTTGCGCCGGTCGTACCTAATTTTGAAGTGATTATTTAGAGCAAAAATTCCCAACCAGGGGTATTGGCAACCCCTTTGGGTGCGAAATGAGAGTCCAGGGAGCGCGCGGAAGATACCAAAACAAGGTCCGTTTTCCCCCAAATGTCGCCAAGAGGAAATGTCTAATGCACACTTTTTAGGCGAGGGGGGCGAGGGCTTACTTAGGGGGGATGCGAGGGCCACAAAAGGTTGGGAACCACTGATCTAGAGGGAAGGCAACAGCACTCTTCGCCAACCACCCTAATCAAACAGTGGGATTTGATCGTCGCTCTTATAACGCACTCACAGTTCTGCTAAGCGCGATTTTGTAGCAATAGGACGCGAACCATGGACCCTTGGACTCATATTTTATTACGTTAATCACTAGGCTACGGCCGAACCTGTATATAATTAAAGATTGTAGCTATATATCTTTTTCTTATAATTAATTTCAAAAATTGCCGTAAAGAAAAAAAACTAATACTTTTCTGATGAACGAATTCATGAAATTGAAATCTCATTTGTGATTTATTTCCCAGCTTCTCTTTCAAGATAACAATAGAGGAATAAATTATAAATATTTCTTACCAACTACAATCAACTCAAGTGGATCAACCGAATTCATATGGAAAACTGGAGACTTCGGAGAATGTTCTAAAACGTGTGGTAATGGTAAGTTTCTGTTTTGTCTTAGTAAAATAACTTGTAGTGTCATCTTGTTTCGTGTATTTTACATGAATTTTTTTTTATTCCAATACGTTGAAAACTATTGAAAACCAACTTTTTACTGTTTACTGCATTAATTGTTAGTTATCTCACTTACTGTATTCATATTGAATACACTGATGTAATATTTCACGACACCTACATATGGGGGGAAAGCGTAGTTACTTGTGTTACAGGTGTAGCTAACCTGCAACGCAAAACGACTGCAAATAAAGTTTTATGTCATAGGGATTAAAAAACTTCTTTACTGGTTTATCTTTGCGAAGACATTTACGGAAATAAAATAAATCTTTAAGGAAAAATAACAACAAGAGTTGATACATCATATCCTTTATCCCATCGTTTTGGAAGAACAAAATGTCACCAACCAATTGTTGCTTAGTTCAACAAAATTATCACCTATCAATTGTTGTTTAGTTCAACAAAAGTATCACCAATCAATTGTTGTTTAGTTCAACAAAAGTATCACCAATCAACTGTTGTTTAGTTCAACAAAGTGTCACCAACCAATTGTTGTTTAGTTTAACAAAAGTGTCACCAATCAATTGTTGTTTAGTTCAACATAAGTGTTACCAACCAATTGTTGCTTAGTTCAACAAAATTATCACCTATCAATTGTTGTTTAGTTCAACAAAAGTATCACCAATCAATTGATGTTATTTCAACAAAAGTGTCCCCAATCAACTGTTGTTTAGTTCAACAAAATTATCACCTATCAATTGTTGTTTAGTTCAACAAAAGTGTCCCCAATCAACTGTTGTTTAGTTCAACAAACGTGTCACCAATAAACTGCTGTTTAGTTCAACAAAATTATCACCAATCAACTGTTGTTTAGTTCAATATAAGTGTCACCAATCACCTGTTGTTTAGTTCAACAAAAGTATCACAAATCAACTGTTGTTTAGTTGGAAAGTGTCATCAATCAACTGTTGTTCAGTTCAACAAAAGTGTCACCAATCAACTGTTGTTTAGTTCAACAAAAGTATCACCAATCAATTGTTGTTATTTCAACAAAAGTGTCCCCAATCAACTGTTGTTTAGTTCAACAAAAGTATCACCAATCAATTGTTGTTCAGTTCAACAAAAGTGTCACCAATCAACTGTTGTTTAGTTCAACAAAAGTATCACCAATCAATTGTTGTTATTTCAACAAAAGTGTCCCCAATCAACTGTTGTTTAGTTCAACAAAAGTGTCACCAATCAACTGTTGTTTAATTCATACACTGAATTACTGACACTGTTTAGACAATTCCAGATTTTTATTAATACAAAATACTTTCTCGGTAATTTAGCGTTTCGCGAAAACTGAAGCACATCAAAAGATGGGGGAATGAGGAGGATACGAGTCGAAAACAAAGCGGTGACAATGTGGTTTGACTTTCTCAAGATGGATTTGATTGTTCACCTGAATATTTGAGTTATTTACTTGCGCCATAGTCTGAATTTTATCTCTTTTAAACTACCTATTATTATGAAGGTATTAGATTTTCACTAATAAGGGCAATATTATCAACAATAATTCCAATATGGTTAAACATTCGTGAGTGTTTTGCGACTATATCAAATGACGTTTTGCTTGGATAAACGGAAACTGTTATTCCAAAGTTTGTGGAGTAAGTTTAAGTTGGGAAATATCTTTAACAATCGTGATGGTTCTGTGGAGAATACGATCTCCATCACTAAGACTGCACATATTTGTCGCAATTAAAAGATCAATTCAATTATTCTTACCGAACAAGGACATAAGGCACGACACTTTCTAAAAGGTTTTATAAGATTCAGTTAGCACCTGCCTCAAAAACGCTAACAGAACTATATTCGTGGACGAGTTTGTGATTTTCCTGCACAGCAATTAACATTTTCATTAACAATAATCGGGCCTTTTTTAACTACTCCTCACGGCTTCGAATTAGAAGAGCAAAATCCAAATTTTCTGAAACCTACTATCGTATAGTGACTAATAAAAAACGTTAAGATCTCCACTAACGTCGTACATGCGTCTCTTAAGATCAAGTTAACCCTTTTTCAGTCCAAGGTTCCCACTGGAAAAAAAAAATTATCTGGCAACAAGTAACGAAAATTATACTAAAATTGTAAGTAGTTGTGAGAGCCTTGATAGGCGTCACAGTTCCTAACATCCCTACAGACCAACAAAGTTTTTCTGTAGCTCATAGTATAAATTCATTTGTTTCTGTTTATGCAAGTTGTTTTCATGCATATATTGTTAAACAGGAAGATTTTTAAATGGTTTCATACATTCTATTTACTGAAGTTGATAATGAGAAATAACTCTAGAGATTTATTCAATTTTCACTTAAGGCTTTTGTTATATTGTTATTGCAACCGACAATTCAAAATATGCTCTCTACTATTATAAATGATTATAAACTATTTCTCTTGAAGGCCTAGGACAGAAGACTACATATTTAACGTTTTATATTGATGATAGTACTTTAATTGTTGTCCTTAGAACGTACTACAATTTGTATATTTTCAGACTAAACAAAAAAATATTATGGTTATAAAGGTCTAATCAGGCAAACTTTGAAAATATTTCAAACAGAATAATGTATTTTTTTTAATTACATGCCCCATCGCCTTGTAACTCTAAAACTCGGGTTTCGATACTCGCGGTGGGCATTGCACAGCATTGTGTAGGTTTTTAGACCTTAAAAACAAATGTTGTTAAATTGTCTGTCACCTATACACTTATGTGAGTGGTCTGGAGTACACATTTAAAGCAACATAATTCATATTTCATGTTTCATTTTTGTCATCAATATTTTTACTGTATTCATAGCAGAGTTTCTTCTATTATACAGTAATTTCATTTATTGAAACTACGAATTTAATTTGTTTTTAATATGAGAAAAATGCATGTAACGAATATGCAAACGACTTATGTCTGTACTCCTTAAAAGAACATTGTTTTCTAATCTATTTAGGAGTACAAGTTCGGTCTGTGAACTGTGTCAGTAAAAAGAGGTCTTACATAGTCTTGGAAGCTTTATGTGACATTTCCTTTAAACCGTTCAGCCACCGTCCATGTCATGTGGAATCATGCCAAGCAAGGTGAGGAACTCAGTGTTTTAGTTACTTAATCAGTGGTGTAGACAAGCCTTTAAAGTTGACCAGGCACCATCGGGGCATGATCACATTGCAGACAGCATTTTTGGTTTGGTCCCTTTGGAGGCAGAATCTACTCGAGTCTGCGGCCAAAGAAATGTGCAATGTTCTGGCATTGCATTGTATGTAATTCCATTAAAGCCAAAGTATTTTATAAATAACTAGCTGAAGTACTCGCCCATTGAATGGATGAAATAAAAACTTGTTTGTAACAAAGGATAGGAAATTGTGCTTCTATTTTTTTTTCTGAACAAAATAAACATTAAAAGTGCAATAAAAATACATAAAGGTACCAATATTGAAAAGAAAGACATATTGGTTTTAAGAATTCTATCAATATGACATTAGAGTGGGGTCTGATCCCCCTAATGACCTTCCTCGTGACATCCTGTATCACTGTGTCAAGCTGTACTGATTTGGTAGTTTTTCCGAAATTAGATGTGTGGCCCAACCCGCCTCATGTTCTTCCTAATGTTATCCTGTATCACTGTGTCAAGTTGTGCTGATTTGGTAGTTTTCCGAAATTACATGGGGGTACAAATCCCCATGATCTTCCTCATGTCATCCTGTGTCCAGTTTGGTGCGGATTGATCAAGAAATGTGAAAACATACAAGGAACAGATACACACACACAAACATATTGACGTATATTTATATAGATCAGCCAGGTAGCCCGTTATATTCAGAGGGAGCATTTAATCTTAGAAAGTAGTGATGCACTTAATTACATACTAATGCAAGATTCCGTCACTTCGTTGACTTTTGTCCCCACTCTTCACACTTTCCACCATCCTTAGTGTAATAAACTAGTTTTTGTGCTTTAGGTCTTTTATTGGTAGAAAATTTATTATAGCTCAAGCAGGTATTGGCCGGGCACGTGCCCGTCCAGGCCCAGCTTTGACTACTTCACTGAGCGGACATCAGAATCAAATGTTCTGCTTTCGTTCAGTTAACAGTCTTGTGTTCGCCACGTTTACTGTATTTTCGTTTGTTACATTGAAGCATTTTAGTTTAAATATGCGTTTACATTCTTAAAAGCATAGAAATATAAAGTTCAACATGATACTTTCAGTCAGTATATATTATCTAAAATATACAGTGCCTTGCAAAAGTATTTATCTCCTGCAAATTTTCCACATTTTGTTGCCGTCTGATTTTGCAATCATAAAGCTTTCAAATGGGACTTTATATTTAGAATCTACATAATCTACTCCAAATTGAGAAAGCTAAAAAAAATGCTGATATTATGTAGGTAAGTTAGATTTTCAAAGAAACCTAGAATATTCTCAATTGCATAAGTATTCAACCCCTTTCCTACGGCAACCCTACAGCAATCAGTTCAGGTGCAAAAGATTAGTTTGAAAGGTCCCAAAATTAGTGTAATGGTCTCTATGTGTAATCAAAGTGGTTTAACTTAATTTCAGAGTAAATGCATCTGTTCAATCCACAGCTAACATAGTGATACGACAAACCAACCATGAAGACGAAGGATCTTTCCAAATTAGTCAGGGATTAAGTGGTAGAGAAGCAAAGATCAGGAGAAGATTACAAGAAAATTTTAAAGTCGCCGATTATCTCTTTGTGTCCATCATTAAGAAGTGGAATGTGCTTCGTACCACCCAGTCACTACCCAGATCAGGCCGCCCTCCCAAACTAAGTAGCCGGTCAAGCAGGAAACTGGTTAGGGATGCCACTATGAAGCCAACAGTGGTAGAGTTCCATATCTTAGATGAGAGTCAGTATTCATACATCAGGAATATTCCGGTCCCTACACAAAGCTGGTGTGTATGGGCGAGTGGCAGGAAAGAAGTCATTACTGAAAAATAAACATCTTAAATCTCATATGGAATTTGCGGTCAAGCATGTAAATGATACTACAAACATGCTGTAGAAGGTTGTGTGGTCAGACGAGACAAAAATTGAGCTTTTTGGTCTAAATTCAAAGCATTACGTCTGGCGTAAGTGCAACACAGCACATCACTCAGTCAACATCATCCCAACAGTCAAGCATGGTGGTGGCAACAGTGACTGGGAAGCTTGTCAGGATTGAAAGGAAGAGATGGATGGTGCAAAGTATAGGCGAATCTTAAAGGAAAACCTGCTTGAGTCAGTCAAGAATCTAAAACCGAGTCGAAAATTCACATTTCAGCAGGACAGTAACCCGAAGCACGGGGCCAAAGCCACACTGCATTGATTTCAAAAGAAGAAAGTGAATGTCCTGGAGTCGCCCATTCGAAGTCCTGACCTGAATCCAATTAAAACTTATGGTGGGACTTGAATATTGCAGTCCATCAACGATCCCCAACAAATGTGTCAGAACTGTAGCAATTTTTGTATTATATCACATAATTACTAGTTAAATGTTTTAATCCACCAAAAAAATGTAATTGTTAATAAATATTAGTCCTCAAAGTCTGCAGGCTTACAACGCAAACAAATTGGGTTTCAATGTCCATGGTGAGAACAGCACAGATAGCCCATTGCGCAGCTTTGTGCTTTCCAACAACCAAATAAAAAATATTAATGTAATCCTATTTCAGTAGACTAAATAGTTTCTTTTTTAATCTTTGAATTACATTTTACAGGAAATACATTTAATAAGATCCACTTCAACTTCTATTGTTTCTAGTTGGCACGTAGGCAAGTGGGAAGCATGCTCTGGGCCTTGTGGCCATGAAGTTCAACCTCGTGTTGTTTACTGTCAGAGAACATTCCAGAACAACACCATCGTTGTTGGTGATAAAATCTGTGAAGAAGATGTAGGACCTAAGCCAAACATGCTCCAAACGTGTCCTTTGGGAAAACCTTGTCCAGAATGGCATTCTGAATCTTGGTCTCCGGTAGGTAACCCAGATAGTGACTCTCAAAAAAACTTTTCGATATTAGTCTTCGCTAATCGTGAAACGTTTAAGCGTTTGATGTCAGTAATAACTAACGAATAACCATTGTGTGGACGGCTTAGTTGTCATTAATTTAATTATTGGAGTAGTTTACCACAAAGCTACAGTCACTGCATTAAAACGTAGACGTATATTGAACAGATTTACATATTGTTGGATATGTTCAATGAGTCACGAACTGTGTGAAAATAATATATATATATGTTAATTCTTAAGCATTTTTACTACTCATAAGATAAGCTGCATGAAATGATTCAGTTACGATAATGTTAAGGTTTTATTTATGGGGAAAGAAACTTCTTAGAAACAAAACAATGAATACTTTTTCGTCATCATATTAAGTATAAAAAATATTGTAAGCTCTGCGAGATAAATCCCTCGGGTCTTCAGTTTAAAAAATAGATTTGGTTGAAGATGACCTAGAGCGATTATAAATGTACAACTGGTATTTTTAGTTCAAACTTAAACAGGAAATGAGTATCCTTTTTTCCATTTTTTCCTTCTTTAAAGAAAAATTCGCATACAAATATTTTTATTACCTTCTATTCTACATTCTTTTTAAATCTACGAATTTAGCTTATATCTCTATAGGACCATCTAGTAGATGATTATGTTATAAGGAATTAACTACAAAAACATAATATTGTATCTTATATCTCTATAGCACAATCTAGTAAATGATTATAGTAGTAAATGTATATATATATATATGAGTTGCACTTTATGTTATCAGGGATTAACTACAAAAACATAATACTGTATCTTATATCTCTATAGCACAATCTAGTAAATTATTATAGTAATAAATGTATATATATATATATATATATGAGTTGCACTTTATGTTATCAGGGATTAACTACAAAAACATAATATTGTAACTAATCTGTGTTCCGACTTAGATATCATAGTTGCATATCAGGAAAATAAGGTAAAAATTACGATATATAAAAGTAATAATGCGCTATATAAATATAACTCAAAACAGATATCCCAACAACGTTTTAATCATAGTGTTAGTTTTCTTTTATATTGTTTTGTGTTGTCTGTCTGAAGTTTCTTTTCGGTTGAAACGAAACTTGAAAGTTAAAATATCATTTATATATTTCAGAGTTTCAGTTGTCTGCGCAAGTTGTTTTGTAACTCTGTTATGTATAGAATATGAAAATACGAGAACAGTCTCAATTTTTAACTATAAATAAGCATATCTAAAATGGTTTGTATACGATTGTTAAAAAAAAAAGTTATGTTCAGTGTGATAAGCTGTGTGGAGAAGGTGTACAGACTAGGCGTGTCACATGCAGAAGAAATAGAACAATTGAACCAGATCTGAGTTGTGACGTGAACCTTAAACCAGCAGTCCGACAGACGTGTAACTTAGGGCCTTGTGAGGGTCTAGAGTGGATTCTATCTGAATGGAGTGGAGTAAGTGTAAATTGATATATTCTATTATTTACCACTTTTAATGAGTTATATACTCCTTGGATTCTCTCTGAATGGAGTGGAGTAAGTGTAAATTGATATATTCTATTATTTACCACTTTTAATGAGTTATATACTCCTCTTCAAGCATACAAACGTATACTATTAGAACTTGTTAATGCTAATGCCACAAAACCTAAAGTATGATTTTTAATCATGATTAGTTCAATGAAGCGATAACAGCCAACAACATTAAAATGTCCTTAGACATAACATATTTATCTCAGATTACCCTAACAACTGTTCTTAGTATTTGATAAATACTTGAAAAGTTTTTTGGTGTACAAAATTTGAAGATGGCTTTTATATACGGAAACCTCTGTCAGCTGAGTTCTTGCACAGATCTTAAAATATAACGTTGATAAATGGAAACATCGGCCCATGTAGATATGTAGATCTTGAAAGTCGAGTTGTTCAAAACTTGAAAATAGCGTTGATAACTGGATCAATTGTTGAGTGAGATGTTGCAAAAGAAATATCTGCTGAAGCTTTTCGCC